AGACCCGGAATCTTCCTTCTCAAGCCCGAAGATCGTACTTCTTGGACCTCTTTGGGCTGTCTTCTTTGAGATTGTCTTTTTAAGTGTTATCGGGTTGTATTTTTGGGTCAGGCCTAGCCCCCCAAATTCGTTGTTTCTTATTTCTTTCGGAGGTCTTGGTCTAGTCCCCCTCTCTGATTGTATCATTCAACTTTCATTAATAAAATCTTGGCAAATGACCCCCGGCATTTGCCCCACCATTGGGTGGTTTGCCTTCCGGAAAAAAAAAAGTATATTCATTCATCGTGGGCCATAGAAAAGGCATAGAGTTGACCGATTCGTCAAACGTGGTCCAATTACCGGTATTGAAAATTTATCAGATAACAACAGGTAATAAAGTCTGGGAACTAGTAAATCAAAGTTGGGGAATAAATATCCATTCTTGAATCCCATAATAACTGGGAGGATGATATATATTTTATTTGACCCAATAAAATAAAATTTAATTAAAACAGTGCGAGAAATACAACTTTCATGATCGAGAGTACACATCGGGTAATAAACGGATGCCCTCCCACATGAGTGGGGGGCCAAACCACCTTTTTAGGCTCTCAAGTTGACAAGGATGAGCTGCAAGACATAGAGTAGTGGTGAGAGTAGGCTGAGGAGATGTTTGAGTGAAGAAGAGACATGAGGTGCACCTCCCCTCCATGATCCATACTCATTTGACTAATGAGACAAAAGGATCATTTTCTACTCCCCTCTCTCACTCATTTTCGATCAACTAAGCTAAGGAAGAGAAACAAGATTTAAAAATATCATTCTCCACATCTAGAAGGAAGCTCGAGCTTGAAGGATGCCCAAGAAAGAAGGAAGAATACATAAAAGGAGAGAAAACCTTGAGAATAAAGGTGAGAACCTCTTTAACATCGTTTCTTCCCTCATTTGATTCTCATATGGATTATACATCATATGGAGGATCGCTGGGATTTTTCTACATGTCTAGAATTGTAGAATGAGGGGTTGGAAGGTAGTTCTATGTCCAAGAATGAACTTTGAAGCCAAGGTGATTAGTTTGCCGAAAAAGAACCTTTTAGAGGTTATTTGTAGTGGGGAAAAGTAGCAAATAAGCTCTCAAACTAACCAAAAAAGTGCAAATCACCCCTTATATAAGAGGTTCTGTACGACCGTCGCCATTTGGGGCGGTTCCCGGTGGAATTTTTTGATTCAATTTTTTGAGCACCTTCTTCATTATGTCTAGTTTACCGATACCAAATTTCAGCTAAAATTTGAACCGGGAAGGAAGTCATATGATTTTCTGAAATATACAACGTTGTTTAACTGCGCAGTTATCTTCAAAATTTTATTTGACTGCCTTCCCGATTGAACTTTTAGCTTAGATTTGGTATAGGTAACTAGACTTAATGAAGAAGATTGTAAAAACATTTCATCAAAAAAATTCACCGGGAACCTCCCCAAATGACGACGGCCAAACAAAGTCTCCTATATAAGGGGTGATTTGCAATTTTTTATTTGGTTAGTTCGAGGGCTTATTTGCCTCTTTTCCCTTTGTATTGATATAGGTTTTGGGATGTTAAAACCTTGTTAGGAACTTGTCTAAGGTGTTCTTAGTGCTCTCACGGAGTTGAGATAGTCGTCGGAGGTATCTTCGGACTTCAACAAAGTTCACCGGAGTTTCATCAGAGTTCAACCGAAGAGGGTGAAACTTCTTAAAGCTCATTCAAGGTGAGTTGCAGCTTATTGTCTTATAAATCTCGAGTTACGTATGAGATTACCTAAAGAAATGTTATATGTATTCACAATGATGTTTGAAAGAGTTTAAACATGTGATTAGCCAAGGTGATTAGGCTTATGTGAACTAAAATTGCATACTATGCATGTAACTGAATAAAAATGCATATAAAAACATTTATGATGTTTTAAATAGCCAAAATAGCATATATTGTTTGTTTAGGACTTAATACATGTTTTATAAAAGTTTCAGAGTAATCAAAGTTCGTTCGGGAGGTCAACGGGTCGTTGACCCGGGGCAGGCAGCGGACCGGTGCAGGCCAAGGGCCGGAACCGGTGTCGGTTTGGTCACTTCCAACCAATTCAAGCAAAATCTACACTGAACCAGAGTCGATTCGGTCTCAGGTTTCGGGGCCGGTTTTTTATAAAATACAAATAGGGCCTGATTGAAGCTAGAAGCGACCCCGGCCATCCTACATATTTATATTATGCATGTTATTGCATGAAATATGATGTTTAAATGCTAAGACATGATACATGATGATTAAAGTCTAAGGCTTGATACGTGATGATTATATGTTAAGGCTTGGATTAGTCGTTAGTAATGACATGACATAGACCATAGCCAAGTAAGGTATATGGTAGATCATAGGTTCGGGTGGAGTACCCAGGGGCAGGGCGGTGTCCTCAAAACTCATTGACTCGGGTGGAGTACCCAGGGGTCGGGCGTGTCCTCAAAACTCATAGACTCGGTTGGAGTACCCATGGGTCGGGCGGTGTCCTCAAGACTCAAATATTTGGGATGAAGTACCCATGGACGGGTGGTGTCCTCAAAACTCGGATATCATGGTGAAGTACCCAGGGCCGAGCGGTGTCCTAAAACTTGTTACTCGTATTACCGGGTGAGTGTCCCAGTGGCTGAGTAAGGCTATCAATACTCGAATGACATAATGAACCACATGTTATAGCGGGAGAGCTTAATGTCGGGTTGAATATGGGGACGGGGAAAAGTCAAGGACTATGTCCACCATGATTTTATTGATTTGATCAAATGACCCACACGTCAGATATTTTCCAGGTGCATATACTTATACTTATATGTATTTCAAAGACATGGGGGAAATTATAAACATATGTATCACCCTATGTTTGGGTCCTATACTTGAAACATTAGTTATTCTACATTTAGCTTGCTTCTCGCCAGTACTTGTGTACTAACCCCTCTAGAGCTTGCTACCTGCACCTTTGCACGGGTGAAATGATCTCGAGGAAGACGTGGTTCGTGCTTCCTTTACTATTTTGAAACTATAAACTATGTTCATGAATATTTTGTAATGAATACTTTGTTTTGGCCCTACGAGCCATGTGTTGCCGTATGTGACTCATGATTGACTATTGAATATCGTTTGCCGACGATATTGTATTGATTGATGAGACGCAATCAGGGGTTAAAGCAAAGTTGGAAGTATGGTGACAAACATTGGAGAACAAGGGTTTCAGACTAAGTCGGAGCAAGACAGAGTACATGGAATGCAAGTTTGGTGGAGGTAGAAGCAGTGGTAATAGCGGAATTACTCTAGATGGTAAGGAGATACCGGTCAACGATATGTTCCGTTACTTGGGCTCCATAATTCAAAAGAACGGTGAGTTAGATGGAGATGTATCCTATAGAATCAGAACAGGGTGGATGAAGTGGAAGAGTGCGTCAGGATTTCTATGCGATCGAGGTATGCCGATTAGACTAAAGGGTAAATTTTATAGGACAACGATTAGGCCTGCATTACTGAATGACACGGAGTGTTGGGCGGTGAAACAATGTCACATTCAAAAGATGAGTGTGACAGAGATGCGCTTGCTGCGTTTGATGTGTGGACATACTAGAAAGGACCGCGTGAGGAATGAGACAATCAGACAAAGAGTGGGAGTAGCACCTATTGAAGATAAGATGCGGGAGTCGCGCCTATGATGGTTTGGTCATGTGCATAGAAGACTGAGTGATGCACCTATCAGACAAGTTGAGATGTGTGGAGAAGAGGCAGGAAAGAGATGGAGAGGAAGGCCCAAACAGACGTGGGTTAGAGTAGAGGCGTCAGAAATGATATGCTTCTTCTTGGATTGGATGAGGGTATGGCGTTGGAGAGAGCAAAGTGGAGGGCGGGTATTCGTGTGGAGGAGTGATCTTGTACCATCTCCCCACCCCCCCCCTTTTTTCTTATTTCTTATTCGTTTATCCTTATATATACATATTATTTTTATCTTTTTTTATTTTATCTTTTATATGTATATTCATCTCTTTTATATTATCTTTTTATAATAGCTTATCTTTTTATCTTTATTTTTTTCTTTTCCTTTTGGTGATATCATGTATCGATTTGTGTTAGTCGACCCCAATATCTTTTGGGACTAAGGCTTGGATGTTGTTGTTGTATTCAATCTAAAGTGTGAGGTTGTTATGTATGTTTACTTATTGGGTATGGTATTAATTATGTTCATGGACGCTTTGTACAACCGCGTGAGTGTGACTTACGAGTGACATTATATGATTGTACGATGGTTGTACACATGTCTAGATGTGATCCAGAACGTGACAAAAAATATCAATGCCACAACTTTTATTGACAAAAGTTGAGACACGCTATTAATTTTTTGTGCTACGAGGACGTAGTTGGATCAAGATGCTTAAGTCTTTGTCTTCAGCAAGAGCCTAGGATGAGGCCAGAACATATTTGGCCCATTAAATTTAGATCTTATAATCCCATGAAATGAATGATATGAGGGGCTTAGAGCCTTAAATTAGACCTACCTTGTCTATTAATCATTTACTTTGTATTTTAAAGGGGCTACTCACTTCCTTTTTTAAAGGTTCTCGTTTATCGTTTTAACATGTTTTTACAAGAATATTATTAAAATAAAACTTATTTACATAAATATGACTATTCATTACTACAATGTAGTGTTGTGGTAACTTAAGTTCAAAACTTGAACATGAATTACTATTATTTCATTACTACTCTAGTAACTAATCATATTTTTATAAATCATCTTTATTTTAGTCATATTTATATAATTACTAGCCTTTGGCACGCCCCATGTGCGAGGCAATGGTGCCTAATTGAAGCACAATTGTAAGACATTGGGGCATAAAAATATACTTCGTAATACATATCATTCTCGGTTAGGTCTTGGAAAGAAAGCTAATCATAAGTGACATGAACTGAAAACTATAGTGATATATACAAGCGCCCCTTTTAGAAAAGTTAGTAGTGCAATTAAATCAAAATGAATGCCTTCAACAATAAATAAAAATTAAACTACACAACAGGAAAAAAAACCTGCAACGTAATAAAACCTTGAGTCACAAGGTTAAGGAGGCTGAAAGTATGTTCAGGAGGCTGAAAGTTTACACAACATTCAAAAGGTCTAAAGTCTAAACTATGTCAAGGAGGCTGAAACTTTACACAACATTTAAAAGGCCTAAACTATGTTAAGGAGGTTGAAAGTTAATAGATAAAGCACATGCTACAGAACATAAAACAACAACTTAAGTCATTGAGAATCTGGGACAGCAAGTTCCCCTTATTTTCCTTGAAGAGGGGCAGTAGCAGAGGGCTTGTTTTTCTTAGATTGCAATGGAGGCAGGTTAGGATCAGTGGGATTGTCCAAAGGTTCAGTCTCATCCGGTGCCACTATGTCAAAATTTATCCATTCTCTAGATGAATGCAAACCAGAGTACCTGACAGTCACATACAAAACAACAAACATCTTTTCTGGACAGCTAACGAAACACCAATAACACAACCAAAACATCGAATTGCATCCCCTATATGAAAGGAGCTGCCTCCTTGAAAACCCCAAACTGAAATTGCTTACAACTGTAGTGAAAAGCATATCACCAAGAATCTTGTGCTTTTAAATTACGACCGTAAGAGATAGTAGGAACCAGAAAAACACCCATTCCATTCAAACAAAATAGTTAACTTATCTTCACTAAAATGATTTTATGATAAATAATTTTTTCAGCGACCAATAATGTCTAAATTAATCCTAATCGTAGAAATGGGGTGCCATGTATTAGAATGATGACTGTAAAAATGGTGTTCCGTAGCTATAGTTGTTTTCATCACTTTACTTTGGCATGTTTGTACAAAATGGTTGGGATAACATACTGGTGGTGTTTTCAATAAAAGGAATGTTTAAAATGGATGCAATACATTTAATTTTTTATGGCAAGGCTCATTAGCTTGCAATAAGACCTATAAAACCATAGTTGGAGGTAGAAAGCAGTAGAATAATCAGATGGAGTTTATTTTGTTGTCACTTGATTCTAAATGGACTGTAAAATCAGCCTGGAGGCAGAAAGATTTAATTTTTTTTATGTATAATACCAACAGGAATTTAAGAATTCTCTAGAATTCAATAATTACATTACTACTCCAAAAAACCAAGCAAAAAGAAGAATCTACCTAAATGACCATGTGAAATTCAGTGAGATTTTACCCTAATTGCCTAAAGAAAAACTCTCATTGAAACGAATCCATTGAAATATGAGTGAAAATAAAAAAGAAATCAAAGATAAATTAGCCCCAAAAGAATTGAATTCAACTGTGGAAGAATTTAAATAAACAATAAGAGAACTTTGATGAGATAATTCCTAATAAAACAAGAAAATCGTTGCATACTTGAAGCCATGTTGTGGATTTGAGGAGATAAGGCTCCTTAACGGTCAGTCGCCACTGCCTGAGAAGATTGTCCAGGGGACCTTCCTCCTATTTTAGTTTCAGTCCCATCTTCGGACCTAACTTGTAGAAGCAGATAAAAGACATAACAACTAAAACTCATTTACTCTCAATTTCCTCCCCCGATTTCAGTCTATGAAATAAAGTGGAATCCGAAAACAATTGCAAACAAATCAGAAAACACAAGATAACTGCAAACAAACAAAATCAAATTCGCACCTATTAATTGCCAAAAAAAACAGGGCGAATTTAATCGCACCTACCGAAAAGGGAATGATGAAAATCTCTTGAATGCAATTCAAAGATGGAAGAGAAAACAAGACTAACCTTGAGTGTACAATCACCCGTATGTAAAAGATAGGGATGAGAACATTACAAGTTCGCTGATAACCAAAACAATACGCAACGGCCTAGGGCGCAAGGGGAACCACACAGAGCACATGCTTCAACAGTGAAGCTGACAGAAGAGCAATGGGTTTCGACCTCAAGGGAAGGGGGAGACTGGAGACGGAGGGCGGAGGCTATGAACAGAAAGAAAGACGGGAGCCTGACTTAACGGAAAATGGGCGAAATTTTGAGACGGCCGTTCAGGTCACTCTTTATACTAGTATTCTACCCGTGCGATGCACGGGATATTAATTTTTTAATATTGTAATGAGTGAGTATCTATTTTGTCTATTTGGTCGAATTGCTTAGATCTACTATAGAGAACCACTTTTAGCTATTATTCATTTATTTTCAATTTTTAATTTTGTTAAAGGTGAATTTGACTTTGCACCCCATTTTTTTGGGTGATATTCGATTTGGCACCCAATTTGAAAAAAGAAAACTTTGACTTTACATCTTATCACCTAATATTTTGTGGAAAAAAATTGTGAATGAGAGTGCGAAATCAAAGGATTTTTAAGCGGAATGAAGTGCACAATCAAAGTTTTTTGAAAATAGAGTGTAAAGTCTAATAAAAAGATGAATGCAAGGTCCAATTTTCCCTTTTTAACGCGTTCCAAAGGACATGCTACTTTGCAATTAGGGTAGTACGAAAAGTAAAGTAAACACGCAAGCTGCTTAAAAAGTTGCTTACTAATCGAAACAGATGCTTAAAATACTACTTACTACGCATATCACCCACATATATTAATTAAGCGACAATTTAAGTTTACGAATTTAACCTTGCCCTTACCCCTTATCCCTGCCCACCACTACCTTACCCAAACCCTACCCTAACCCCAATAACCCCTCCCTTACCCTACCCTCTACCTGTCCCCCGACCCCTAACCTCCTACCCTACCCCCGCACCCCACCCTCACCACCCCTACTCGCCCCCTACCCCGATCATGCCCCTTATCCCACCCCAACCCCTACTCGTCCCCCGTACTCGTACCCCTTACCCCACCCCCTACCCAGACCATACTCTTTCCCCCTCCCTCATTACCTGTTATCACCCACCCTACCTCGACCCCACTGATCCACCCCAACCCCGTTACCCTCTACCCCTACCAACTGGTATATATACAACGTAGATCAAAATGATTATGTGAAGGGATTGAAGGCAACATAAATGTGCACAACAACTGAAATGTATAGTTTCCCACTCCCAATATATGCTCATGCAATTTCTCACGTTGAGAAAATAGACAGCCTCAAGCATGCATAAATTATCATTTCAAACGAACTGTGCTATTCCCCTAGCCCTTGGATTAATCCATCCTGTATACTTTGCATGCTTTAATATGTTAACAGTAGATTGAAAAGAAGTTGATCTCCCAGACGCAACTGACCTTTTAGCAGTTCATTAGTGACCATATATATTTAGTTCTCCAACTTTCATAAAAGTGACATTATGTTACTTCAATTACTATACTAATGACATTTTTAGTCCCCCACTTATTGTGTTAAAAATTATAGTGGAAGGACTAAAAGTGTCAACTTGGTAATATTGAGGGGACTAAATGTGAAAAACTTTAAAGTTTAGGACTAAAAGTGTCCCTAATACAATAGTCGACGACTGAAATTGAAAAAATTAAAAGTCGATTATCAAAAGTATCAATTTCACATTAATCGAGGGAACGAAAATGACAAAAAACTATTTTTACACATTCAAGTAACTTCAATTATATTTGTTTTAAACAATTTATTTTTTCAATTGTTTACTACCTTTGATCCAGCCATTTAGAAAAACTAACCATTAATCCCAGCCCAACATTGATGATCAAACCCAACCCAACACCGTTAGACAAATACTATGTACGGCATTTCAAATTTCAATCAGCTAAGGGAGCCTAGTAAAATCATTCGTCTCCCACTCCTCCCACATCCCACCAAGCGGCGACCACAATCCTCCCCACCTTAATTCCCGAACACCGCCCTCGATTAACTCACTAACCGTCCAGGCCCAAAATTCGCCGCTCTAAGACAATAACACTTTAACAAAGCTACCGCATAAAAAAGAATGGACAGCAGCAACAGATCGAATAACAACGCAGGTCATCGAAATGTTTGACCTCAAATCTACAGATTGGTAAGTGCAAGCCTGTATTTCGTGAACATAGTGTTAGATTTGATCTCTAGTATCTTAAAATCAGTCCGGAGACAACTAATTTAGTTCTTGTTATTTATTTCGAACGTGAATTCTCAATAATGACTCCGTTGGAGTTTTAGGCTCAATTTATACCAGATATGAACAATATTCAGAATAAACCCAAACTAAGGTATACGGAGTATATTGTTTTTATTAAGATTTTGATTCACATCTATATGCTTTTAGGTTTATTGTATTTTATTTACATTCTTATCTAGTTCTTTTAGTATTAGCCTTATTTAGATGTATTTGTTGGGTTTATCCCCACAAAGTTTGGCAGTTTCTTTAAGGTATATTCGATGTCAGGCCGCTCTTTAGCTTTCCATTTAGTTTTATAATTTGTTTTTTAGACAACTGATTTTCCCTGATTGGTTTTCTATTGTTCTTCTCAAAACACCAACTGATATCCTCTGTAGGTATTTAACATTCGAAAATACAATTACACTTGGATGTTTATTCAACAAATGTCTATTTAATCATAAGTAAAAAACAATCAGGATTAATTTAAAATCTTGTACTATAAATCACATTGCACTTTTAAAAATATACGAAGAAGTCAACATTTATTTATAAAATTAGATCAATAATGTATGTTTAACAATCTAAGAACACAATACATTTGCAATAGATTGAAATGTGTTAATCTACTATGTCACTAAATACATTCTCTTCTCCCTACTTTTGATGTATGTGTGCTTTGAGTTGTTAAATTTTCCGATCATGACTATGTTGAAACAACATTTCTACAAAGGATTGTGCATAATAAGTCAAGTTTTCTCTTCATATACCTTTTATGGTGTTACCGAACTGTATGTTTGGGGTATGATTTGAGTAATTCTCTTATATAAAACTACTATTTCAGAAGGCTAAGGTTTCAGATTTACAAATAGACTGCTACAAATAAAAGTTGATGAATACGGCGTACTATTTTCTTCAAACAGCAAAAAACTACTATCGTTTGAAAGTTGAAACATTGAATCAAGTTTAGCTTTTAGAGTTGATAAAGTAGCATTTAAAAAATGACATGTAAGTATTTCAGAGACTTAGTACTGGAAGCAGTAGTTCCTTACCTTCAATGAAAGATTAAAAAGAAAAATATAAGAGACAATTATGATTACCTTTGAATGAATAAAGTAAGCTGAATATAAAAATACACCTTCTGTAGCACTTGACTTCTTGACTTGAGGTTTTGTAAGTGGCTGTATTAATAGTTGTGTTATTCTCACTACCAGATGTCTCTTACATAAATGATCTGTTTATTTTGCAGGCATTTTATTTGAAAGTCATACAGAGAATGCAAGCTTGTGGTTTGGATATGAGTTCATCATCATGTGCCGAGTTTTATAGGAGCAATGGCAATGAATTTGCGGCCATTTTTACGCACAATATTGAATTGCAGTGATGCCTGGAAGCTTATTTGATATCGTGCCTAGACTCTAGAGTGATGCCAAGTTCCATATTTATAGTGGAAATATTCTACCACACGTTTAAGAAGTTCAAAAGGCGCAAAAAATGCCAACTGCGTCTCATACACATACCCACACCTTTTAAATTTTAAATAAAACAATTGCCTATTATTTAATGTAGAGAAGACCAAAAGGCAACCACACGTTCTCCAATTGTATAATAATTGCATAAGTAAAATCCGAACACCGTAAAGCCACACATTCTCCCAATCCACATTAATTGCATAAATAAAATCGGAGCATCAGAAGGCCACACGTTTTCCCAATCCATATTAATTAATTGCATACATAAAATCGGAACACCCCAAGGCAGTGCATATTCCCGCCCAAACTCTCTCCCAAACTCCCTCCCCACTTTTGTGTTTTACTATATAAATATAATATAGATAAGTAGGAGATTTCTTTTAACATTCCATAATCTAATATAGTTTTATAGTCGCAAATTAAAATCTAATACACTGGTACACTCATAATAAAACAAACATGACCAATACCATCAATTACGCTATTGTATTATATATTGAACCACATTATTTTCAGATTATGCTAAAATGAAATCATTTAATGATTTCATTATTGTTTAAAAGGAGTGTTATTTACGAATCGTGGACTTGAAAAGGGTTGCATGCAGTACAATTTTATGGGTTATGTTTTTTGTCTCAAATTTGAATTTGAATCTCGTTGAAAACGAAAACTAGAAAACCTCATACGTAGTACTTCGTGTTGAAGCATTTGTCCCACACCGGAAAGCTATAAAACAACTAAACACTATATAAAGGCTTTGGGCTACTCCTCCTATCAGGTTGACCTTTTAGGATGAAACCCCGGGTCTTAACATGTTAAGATCCGCGCGTTCCATCCTAAAAGGTCAACCTGATAGGAGGAGTAGCCCAAAGTCTTATATAGTGTTTAATTGTTTTTATAGCTTTCCGGTGTGGGACAAATGCTTCAACACGTCCCCTCAACCCGAACCGGGCTGGACAATATCGGGGTGTATAAACGGGCCAAACAAACCCTTAACAAGCTACCCTTAATCATGGGTGCTAAATAAGCCGTCAACCCACAACCGGAATTGGCTCTGATACCATGTTAAGACTCGGGGTTTCATCCTAAAAGGTCAACCTGATAGGAGGAGTAGCCCAAAGCCTTTATATAGTGTTTAGTTGTTTTATAGCTTTCCGGTGTGGGACAAATGCTTCAACACTTCGTATTAAGGAATAAGGATGCACGTTTCATACTTTTGTGAAAACAATGTTTTCAAACATGCTTCTATTTAAAGTTAAAACACCTTTGGGTGTAGTATGAGTAATCTAAGGTGTTATATAATGTATTATATTTTATATCAATTTGGTATGAGATGAATACTTCAACACATTTTCTCAGTCATAATTATCAGATTGGACAATATTGAAGTGTATATAATGGGCCAAATAGACCTTTAGCGAGCTACTTTAAATCATGGATATGAGTGCTTGA